ATCTGCTTTTCAAGAACACTGCAGACACGGTGAGCAGGCTATATGCCCTCGATTTATGATGCATTGCTTTACATTATTTCTGCACTGTTTCCCTGACAAACCCCTAAAATGCCTCTCTCCTACCACAGTGTTTACAAAATCCTAAACTGGAAAAAGCAGAGATTTTAGACCTTGCGGTTCAATACATCAAAAAGACCACAAGAAAAACTCAGGGTTGGTTTTTACTGATTTTATTTTTTACTTCACCCATCTGAATTTAATAACTGTTGTTTATTATAGCAATATGCCTAATTTATCTAATGTTTTTCTCTCTTTCTGCAGTGACATCTAATCAAATGGATTCCAAGGCCACTCGGAACCAGTCTGTTGTATCTGCTTCTGCGGGCCCCACCAGTGACTTCTATGTACCTGACTTCTACGGGAGGTTTAAATCACTTGAGCAGAAAGAGGTTCTTCTGAAACTGAGGGTCAATCTAACCGGTGCTTCCAAAGCAGGAAATGAACCAGTGGCCCAGACAGGCTTCCCACGATCACCATCAGACCAAAACTACCACCAGGAACTTCTCTTACACCCTGAATCATCTTTGTATGGCTCTAAACTTTTGCGTCGATCGACTTCTCCACCTAGTTCATTATCATCAGAATGTAGTTCCCTGCCATTATCTCCCACTTTTACAAGCTTATCCTCCTCTCCCAGAAACTCGCCTCCATATCTTTCCGGGTCTTGTCCTCTACCTGCTCCTCCTGATTCAGTGTCTCCTCTCATAACACCATTTTCACTCCATAGGCCTGTTATTGTGCCTCAGCCCATTCTGCCCAACATGGCTAGAGATTTTACCCCACCGCAGTCACCTGTACTGGCTCTTAGACCAGAACCCTTTTCTCTTCCAACCCAGTCCACATGGAGACCATGGAACTGAACTCTTACCATGGTGTGATTCTTTTTACTTATGCACTGCTCCGATGGAGAAATTACCTCTCAGAGGAACCTAATGCTGGTATATGGTGTGGCGTGAACATAGGGTTGTCACTTATGTTTGCCTCCAGTTAGTATTACTTTTGTCATGTTTTCAATGACGTGTACTTTTAACTTGACTATTTATTGTTCTGACCCATGCTTGTCTTCATTGGTACCTGTAATTTTAGTAGTGGAATAAAATCACTATCACTGTTTTCAGTTCTTGTGTTCATTTGAAAAGAAAAGCTATGTGGTTTCTTTTTAAATCAGTCTAGACTAGCTTAAGAGATGTATAAATTGCATAAAATATAGATTTATCAAGTTTAGTAACTAAAGTACGAAGTACGAGCCTTCCGATCCGGGGCTGGAAATGTTAGGGAAGCGTTCACACAGAACCGGTGATTGCGTTAGAATAAGCAAGACACAGGGCAGTGAAATGAGGGAAAAACCAAGCCATAGAAATGCGGATTTTTTAAAAAGGTGAACGTCTCTTCATTTTAGTGCCGAAGCCACCATGGAGGATCACCACATTATTTAGAAAGGTAAAAGTTCCCATATTAGCTTAAAATGACATGAGCTGACAAATAGTATAATGATATATGAATTGGATACACATGTACATGTTACATCACTACAGACCTTCCAACACCACACCTGAGCATTGTTTGCTAACCATAACAAGAAATCCGAACATTAATGAAAATT